AGGGAAAGATGCCAAGGAGGTGGTGTACCAGGCTTGGAGTGTTGTTCCCAACACTGAAGAGAAGAAACTGAAGAGTTTTGCGCATTAAAAATGCATTTATTAGCCCAACAGAGCACCCGTCTCTGCTGTGAGCGTTCATGGTGTGACGACACCGCCGAGGACTCGCCGCCCTTGAAGATTTTGCTCATTTATTTCTGGAAGTGCAGGCCTTGGGTCAACATGCACGATTCCCTCTTAAACCAGGTTAAGTCTGGAAGCTTGGCTTTCACGCCACCAAACCAGTGGTTTCTTAAGCTTCCCCGTGTCTCTGAGTTGGACGGATTGTGTCTTGTTTGTACTGCTTCCCCAGCTCCTCACTACACACAGGAGGAGGACCAGAAGGAAGCAGTATTCTGCTGGTACTAACGAAATACCAGAGCTTCTTTAACCCATATTTCATATCAGCATAGGGGATGCAGGAGCAAATCAGCATCTGGACCTGTCGCTTGTTATAGAAACAAAAAGGTAGAAAATGATGGAGAGCAGTCCTGCTGTGATACTGGCCACGTAATTTCAGAGCCCTGGGATGTGGCCCGAGTGGGTCCCTTGGACTTGTGTATGATCAAAGGAAATAGGTGCTCCCTACCTCTCTTTTTTTCCTAGCCTGGATGATGTGGAGCTCCCACACAGATTGCTGGCAGGACTAGGGAACTGGGAGACATGAGGACAGCCATTTCCAGGGGAAAACAGGGAAAAAAGTGTAGCAAGTCCCTTGGTCTTGTCTGCATCCCTTTTCACCTGGTGTCCAGTGCTACTGAGGAGCTGCAGCCATGGGTCACTTTGCCCCTAGAGAGGTCTCCCCTGGGCTTCATCCCTGCCCACATCTTCCCTTCCCACATGCAGACAAGGGCTTTGTGGGGTGGGTTTGTCTGAGGAGGGTCCCAACCTGCAGCCAAAGCTCGTTCCTCGTGACACAAATCGAGGGGCGCTGGCGTGGGGATCAACAAGAAGGGCACCCCGAATTGCAATAATAAAAGAGAAAAGCTGCTTTTCTCTTTAGATAAGACTTGATTATTCTAGTTTTTTTTTTTTTGCCTGTTTCCATCTCCTTGTGGTGTGCACCATGACGTGGGAGGCCTAATCAGGTGTCTGAACTGAACTTCTCTCTACTTCCCTCATTTCTCTGACCTTAAGCCTGCCTATATAGCATGCAGAGCAGTTAAGAAGTCCGGTTGTTTCCCACACTTCTCCTATACCACTTTCTAGAGGAGTGGAAATCCTTCCCTGTTTTAGGATATGGGCCTTCCACTTTGCTTTCATAGATGTTTGAACCCAAAGTGTGTTGCTAGATGGATGCAGCTCTACCCGGGCCACCCTTGGGGCACTTCTTTATGTATGTAGATGGTAGATATCTCAATTTAGGTAGCCCCATGGCGATCCAGACTGGGCGATTGGCATGTGGAGTGTTTTAAAAATACCAAAACTGGATAATGTCATATCTGAAGTTTCTCTTCCTCTGTTTGCTGTGGCAGTAGCCACACTGGTGGCACAGAGGCAGTTGCTGAAGGCACAGGACCCGTTGCCTCAGGTTCTTCTGCTCCTCTCAGCCAGCGGTCCAGCAATGGCTTTGCAAACTGATGACCCTGCGTGGTCTTCTTGGTTGGTTTTCCAGAATGTAACATAAGAAAATACAGTGCAAGCCTGCATGAGCCGGTATGTTTTATAAGAAGTTGATTTGCTTAGAAAAGATCTTGTCAAGATGAGGGTCTCCTGAGACGCCTGTGTAGGCGAGCTACCTAAAATTTGGTTTCCTTTCTCTGGATAATAAAATGCTGATATAATATTGTATCTTCTGGGCCTCACTCTTTGTATTGGGATTATACTTGTTTAAGGAGAGGAAAGCAATGCACAACTGGGATGATGGTGAATGACAGTCTCTTGATGCAGTACCGAGGTCACCAGAGCTAGCAGGCTCCCAAACCTTGCTTTAGCTTCTGCCCTGTGTTTTAATAACCATATTTAATTGCAGCACAGTGTAATTGGCTCTCCTGCTCTGTTTCAGGGGAAACACCAGGTTAGAGGAAGCCTGTGAAATGTACACCAGGGCTGCAAACATGTTCAAGATAGCCAAGAACTGGAGTGGTAAGTACAACCACAGCCTTGGAGACTCTCCTTGTTGTTTACCTTTGAGTTCAGGAATTACAAGTCCCGCAGAAGGAATTAGCATCCAGACCTTGGTTTCTTTTTGTGTGGGTTGTGTCTGCTGCTGCATGCTCTTCTAAGGTGTGCTGTTGCTCATGCATCTCCTTCTCCAAAAGTCCCTGTTATAAGGCAAGGGAAATTCCATGGGCTGCAAGATGCAGATGATTCCCGTGTCACGTCCAGTAGCCAAACCTTGAGTCAAGGCCAGTTATCTTCCCCGGTGCCTTAATGCTGTGAAATCAGGGTAAATGTGCTGTGAAGCAGGTTTTTGCACCGAGTTACAGAGCAAGTGCAGCTACCTCTGCAAGACAGACGCATCTGCTTGGGTAGTTCATGGAAATGTCTTGTCCTCGTACTGTAATTCTGCTTACTCGATGGTGTGGAGAGGTAAATCCTGCCTGTGGTTCTTTCCCAGCTGCAGGGAATGCGTTTTGCCAGGCAGCCAAACTTCACATGCAGCTGCAGAGCAAACACGATTCAGCGACCAGCTTCGTGGACGCCGGGAACGCTTACAAAAAAGCAGATCCCCAAGGTAATGCACATGAAATCCTGGGTTATTTCATGCGGATCCCAGCTGCAGAGTAGCTGCTAGGCTGAGGTTTTCTTTAATCAGCTGCTTTCTGTGGTTCAAGATCTTCAGTGTAGACTACTGCTAAGCCTTAAGCATAGCCTTGGCTTCTTCTTTTCAGACAAGATATTTACTTAAATGCAATGTTACTTGCAGAGTATGACTGGGCAGGGAATACCTTATCATGGGTGTATAAATCTGATGGAAATTCTGTGAATTAAGGGAGTTTTTCTTTGGATGGAGCTTCAGGTCCGATAGATGAATCATGATGATAGGTAGATGAATCCTTGCAGTTTAGAGAGAGATTTTTCGTAGTTGCTCTACACGCTGTGCTCCTTCTGCCACAAAATATACTGTACTAGCAATACTACAAATCATGCTGCTGGTTGTATCTGGAAGGTGATTGCAATAGTGCAGTCCCTGGGTGATAGCTCCAGCATCCCAGCTGCACTCACTGCTTTGGAACAAGATGTGGATTTAAGTGGCCACGGGAGTGCAGCTCGGCTGTGTTCTGCCCATCCCAATTTCCGACAGTCATTTTGATCTCTGAATCGTTGCCTGCACCATAAGGCATGTGAGATGTGGATACCTCAATCTGGCCTGGGTAGGGGGATTGTGGTTAGATTTGCAAACACAAAACTGCTGAGGAGTTGAGTGCCACCACACACAGGTACAAAACGCGTGCCCGTCGTCCCAGGCGTACGTAGGTATTTGTGAAGCTGGTTTTTAGCCTGTCAAACAGAAGTTTGACCACGATCTGCTGAATGGCTTTCGCGGGGGTTGTTCAGAAATGCAGGGTTTCTGATGTGCTGCCTGACCTTGTGTTGTTTTTCCCGACTGCTCACGCTGCAGAGGCCATCAACTGCTTAAATGCAGCTATTGATATCTACACTGACATGGTAAGAAGCCCTGCTGGCTGGGTAGCTTGTGGCCTGATACGTGGTTAATCGTGTGACTATAAGAGATTTAGCTTCATAGATGTTATATGTGTCGACTTGAGAAGGAAACTCCCCATCTCATTCATTATCTCTCATATTTTCTAGGGGCGATTCACTATTGCTGCCAAGCATCACATCACCATCGCAGAGATTTATGAGGCTGAGCTGGTGGATATTGAGAAGGTAAAGACAATTAATGACCACATTGTTACTGTCGTGTTGCTTTTCCTTCCCCAGCCAGAGGAAGGCCTAGGTCAGCCCAGTTGACAAAATTTGTCTTTCATCCAATATTAGGCTCCTGTGGGTAAGTCACTGAAGTTAGAGTTATTCTTACAGCCATCTCCAAGTGTCGACCATTAGGGATCTTTCCAGTTGTCCATCTTTAATTATTTGACAAATAACTACTAAAGTTAATGGCAGCAGGTTTGATGCTTGCAGGATGATGGTTCAGAGTGATGGAGCTAATAGGTTGGGGCTGAAGTGGGGATTTTTCTCCCTCCCCATCACAAAGGGTATCCTGATTCTTTGCAAGTCAGTTATCTGCAGTGGTGATGAAGCTCCTGCATATTTTCCTTTCCTCTGGCATAGCCTTGAAAACCTGTTCTAGAAGATGCTCCATGGAGGAGGCTGCAGTGGTCTAGGGTTGACCTCTGCTGCTGTTGCACATCCCAACATGATTTTGCAAAGGCTGAGTGGTTTAGGCCTGTTGCTCTGGAAGGTTTTTTGGGGCAGAGACCCAACGGGGACCACCAAGGTTGGGTTTGGAGACAGCTACAAAGTGCTACTGTCCACGAGTGTCTGGTCCCCAGCACTTAGCTGTTTATGTGCTGCCAGCCCTGCAGTTACTGGGGTTGGCTCTCAGGATGAGGAAACTGGAATTGGTGGCAGCTTCTTGTCCTCGCAAACAAGTGCCTGTTACAGGGAACTTGATTTCTAACCAGAGTAACAGTAGATACTCAGCAGGCCAACTAGGTAACAAATCTTGTTGAGCCTTGTTGGATGCAAAGTTATCATTTCTAGATACTACTTTCTGGAGAATAATTTGCCTCATAGGTTGCTCTTTATCAGGTCCTGTTTGGCCACATGAACAATTTCAGCATTACCTGCCCTGCTTAAATCAAGCGTTACGTCAGGACAGGTCTTTTATTAAAAAGTTAATCGTATTGCGGCAAAATGGAGAGAAGATGTTACATTGTGCTTACGAATGTTTTTAGTAGTTATCTCAGTAGTAATATCGACCCTTTATTAACTGCTCATAGGTGTTTGGGGGTTTTATCACCATCACCATGTGCTCCTCTCACAAAACCCTGCCTTCAGAAGCGCTGTTCACGTTTTGTGTCTTCCAGGCAATCGCACACTACGAGCAGGCTGCAGACTACTACAAGGGAGAAGAATCCAACAGGCAAGTTCTCTTTGCAACTTGGTCTTTGAATTGCTTTTGACAAGAGTTAGAAATGCAGCCTTGATACCTTAGGCTCTCCACGTCCTTGTGCAAGTCGAGATTCTAACAAAAACCTTTGAGATTCACATCCAAGACTCTCTTTCCTTGTGACAAGCTTAGTTTGTTTTGGAAGTCCATCCTGGCTGCACAAAAAGCATGGGGTTGAAAAATTCATGTCCAGCTGAAAGTCCTTGTGCATTTCTATGTGATTTTAGTGTTGATGATTAAAAAACAAGTTGCCCTCATAGGCAGCTTTTATATTCTCTGTGTAATATAGCTCGAAGATACTGTGGCACAGGGTTTTTTGTTCCTTTTTCCCCACCAGTAGCCGGGATGCTACTACTTACTTTATTTGTATTAATTTATTACTCTAGTACCTTATGTGTATAGTGTGTATGAATGCATTATTAATGCCTTATCTGTCTATATTGATTGTGCTGATTGCAGTTCAGCCAACAAGTGTCTGCTGAAGGTTGCTGCTTACGCCGCTCAGCTGGAGCAGTACCAGAAGGCCATCGAGATCTACGAGCAGGTTAGTGTGGAAGGGCATCAACAACGGGGCTTAAAGCATTAAGGCAATGTCACCGGTGGAGAGTGAAATGAGTTTTCCACTGGGAGACTGAGTTTTGTCCATCCCTTTCAGCTGAGCCCTTAAGTCTTCACCTGTAGGGTAAATTTGGGGTCTCATCAAGGGTGGAAAGTTTGTTTGTTTAAATGATGCTGCAAACCAGATGGGAAATGCAGACTGGGGAAAAGTCTGATCTGAAGCCAAAAATTCATTGGAAATGAAAAGCAGGTAGTTGTCCCTCAACAGTGCCAGGCCCTGGAATCTTCAAATCTTGCCTGTTTTGGAGTTGGCTAAGTATTTAAAAGTAGCATTTTACTCTCTGCTTTTCAGAATTGCTTTAACTTAAGCTTTTTAAAATTTTCCTGTGTCCCTGTTGTTATACTTTGACACGCGTTCTGCATCCCTGCAGAGATGCTGAACCCCTATTTTTATGGATGTGGTGTCCTGAAACAGTGCAGGTCCTGACACCAGGTCATTGGGCTGCTTGGGGATTTTTTCCTTCACTTTGGCTTAATCAAAAATCCATCTAGCTTCCCAACAGGTTTTCTTTTAAAGACGCTGGCAGTTTTTCTCATGGTCTTCGTTCATCGGTCACCAGTTGCACGGTGTCACATGTAACATGAATTAGCTGCTGTGTTTTTAAATCAAGTTCCTAACAATGTGATTTTCTTGAATAACGGTGTGTCTAGGTGGGAACCAATACCATGGACAATCCTTTGCTCAAGTACAGTGCGAAAGAGTATTTCTTCAAAGCTGCCCTGTGCCACTTCATTGTGGATGAGCTGAATGCTAAGGTTAGTGGCTGTCCCGAGCTTCCTGCATCCGCGTTGCCTTTGCAAGAGCGACGCTCCTGCAGGCACAGAATCATAGAATCATGGAATGCTTAAGGTTGGAAGGGACCTCTAGAGATCATCCAGTCCAACCCCCTGCATACGCAGGGTCACCTAGAGCACGTGGCACAGGACTGCGTCCAAGCGGGTTTGGAAGATCTCCAGAGAAGGAGCCTCCACAACCTCTCTGGGCAGCCTGTTCCAGTGCTCTGGCACCCTCATAGTTTAAAAAAAAATTCCTTGCATTCATGAGGACCTTTTGGTGCTTCAGTTGTTGGTCATGACCTCTAGTTCTGTCGGTAGGCATTGGGCCCTGCATGTCTGTTGCAGGGGTTGAAACTTTTCCTTCCGCATAAATGCTGCTTTGCCCCAAAAGTGCGGGGAGGGAGAGGGCTCCGAGTTGTGCTGCTTTCCCAGGAGAGCAGTTGGGAGGCTGCCTTGGGCAAGCAGGGCTGGGAGCTGCTAGGGCTGCGGGTGCCTGGGCATGGATTTAAGGGCTATCATGGCTAAAGCAGCATCACGTTCAGCAAAGCAAGTGGATATAAGAGCAAGCAGCAGCGATGCAAAGGCGGGAGATCTGTGGCACTTGTTAAGAACCCAGCTTTGAAACCTGGTGTCAGAAGCTGGGAGTTCTCCTTCTTTCTGCTTCTGTCCCTGGTCCCTACCTGTTGTTGCTGCTTTGCTCTTGTCTACTCAAGGATTCAAATTGGAGCTGACCCCGGTTGGCCCCAAGCTTGTGCCTGTGTGTCCTTGTGCTCTTGGGTTTCCTGGGAATATTTTCTCAAGCTCTCTAATCTTCCAGGACTGGAACTGAAGTGAAAAGCAGCTATTGGCATGTAACGTGAACTCAAGGGTTGTCCTCTCTTTTCCAGCTGGCACTCGAGAAATACGAAGAAATGTTCCCAGCATTCACAGATTCAAGAGAGTGCAAGCTATTAAAAGTAAGCAAAACCACTTCCAAAATAATGCTGTCATGTTTGAAAATGAATCCTGCCCTTTCCGCGGCATCTTTCCACCTTGAGGAGGTTTGGTCTTAAGATCAAGCCTTGTGGAAGATGTCGGGCTCGCTGTGCACGGGAATCATCCCGTGTTGGTGGGAATGGGAAGGGAAGAGCCGTGGGGCAGCCCATGGGAGTGGGCAGCAATGTGGTGTTTAACTGAAGCAGAACCTGTGTAACTGTGTGTGTGTTGTGCCAGAAACTGCTGGAAGCCCACGAGGAGCAGAACTGCGAGGCCTACACCGAGGCAGTAAGTAGCCTGGTTCTTGCTGAACGTTCATTTTTGACTGCTGGCTCCGGACAATCTTGAAATTATCTTGTGCTTTTTAATCTCTTTTTCCACTGCTTGGGTCACCTGCTGCACGAGCAGCGTTGCAGCATTGCTGCATGGCCCCAGCAGTGTCTGGTCCTTGCAGCGAAGCCATTTGGCTCTGAGTCACAGAACATGGGAGCAGGGTCAGCTCCATTGGGTTGCTCAGAAAATTTACCTCCTGCCATTCCCAAGGCTTGCACCAGTCATAGAATCATAGAATGCTTAA